AGTTGTTTCCTAATTTTATGAGAAATTGCTACACTGATATCCACAGGGGTTGTACCAGCTTGCACTTCCCTGAAAAGATTTTAAGCAAGGAAAGAATATAAGGATATTTGAGCCTCAGAAAAGACACAAGATACCATTTGTAGATTATCAGAATGGCAAACTAAAAATGATGTTGCCTGGGCTAGGGAGATGGCTCGGTGGACAAAACCCTTGCCAAGGACCAGAGTGTCATTTCTTATATGCTGTCACCTTTTTTTTTTTACTGAGACATGGTCTGTCATTGTCCTGGAACTTGACAAGTAAGTCAGGCTAGTAGCCCAGGGATCTATTATCAATACATCTTTGGTACTGGGTTTACAAAGCATGCACATACACCATCTCACTCGACTTTTTCTGAATCTCTATGCAGTCCTGGATGTCCTGGAATTTGTTCTTCAGACCAGGCTGGCCTTAAACTCACAGAGATCTTACTGTCTCTGCCTTCCGAGTGCTGGGATCAAAGGCATGAACCACCACACCTGGCTCACCCACCTCCTCTCACAGGGAGTGTAAGGATGAAACTCGGGTGATCAGGCTGGCATGGCAAGCTCTTTACCGCCTGAACTATCTCCCCAGCCTGGCTTATGTAAGCCAAGCCTGCTGCTTTGTCCTGGGCCTCGGAGTCTTCAGGACTTTTTAATAAAGGGAGCAGAACTACATGACTTCCTGTGTCCTAGGCATGTGCCAACTCCTGCTTGATTTTCTACAGGAATGAAGTGTAGGCCCATATTTCTATATGATGTGGCATGCAGGCTCTAAAGCCATAGGTCCCACCTGAGGGTGGTCACGTTGTAGCCTACCAGACAGGCCCTCGCAACCTAACAAAAGGTCAGGATGTTGTTGCTCCTTCTTTATAACTTGGAGGATGCCTGATAGAAATGCTAATTCAAACCTATGTGACAGCTAGCATACACAGCAGACAGGTAGTTGTGGGTGTAACTGAAAGCCATTCACCTGGTTACCTAGGAGACAGAAAGCTAATGTATTTCCCCTAAGTTAAGTTTTGGTATAAAGAAAAATTCTTCAGGATGTGAACTCAGGACTTCATGAGGGACCACTGAGAATCTCCCTCCCGATAAAGCCATGAGAGCTGTGTCTTTATTTCTGCGCCTCCACGCCGGTCCAGGGAGAGATAGTTTATGTTGGGGTCTGGTCAAGAGAAATAATTGTGGATCTGGGCTAGCATTGGACCCTGACAATGAAGGACTGGGAACAGTAGCTCTTTCTAGTTGCACAAATGCAGAGGAAAAAGGACAATGACATCGACAGGTAGTTGAACATCCTCCTATGCAGGAACCAGAGGCCCCCATCTCAGCTCTCTGACAGTTATAGAGTCCCCAGTGGACTCTATGCTTAGTGTACCACCTCCCTTAGAAGTCATAGAACTTGGTAGGGCCTTGGATGCAGGAGTAGAGCGAGAAGGAAGATATAAGAATCACTGATGTGGGATGCCCTTCTGTATATGTATTGCTTTTATTGGTTGATGAATAAAGCTGTTTCAGCCAATGGCTTAGCAGAGTACATCCAGGCGGGAAATCTGAATAGAGATATATAAAGAGGAAGTAGGCAGAGTCAAGGAGATGCCATGTAGCTGCTGAAAGAGAAAGATGTTCGCCCAGAACCTTTACTGGAAGGCCACAGCCTCGTGGCGATACACAGACTAATAGAAATGGGTTAATTCAAAATATGAGTTAGCCAGGAATATGCCTAAGCTATTGGCCACATAGTATTTTAATTAATATAGTTTCTGTGTGATTATTCGTATCTGGGCGGCCAAGAACAAAGGAGCAGTCTCTGCCTACAAATCACTCTTGGGTTTCAGGCTCAGACGTCCAGTTAGCCCATGGGAGGTGCAAGAAATAAGAAGAGAGGCTCACAGGGCAGATGAGGGTAACAGTTCTGCTTGGGACCTGATGGGTTTGAAGTTCCAAGGAAGAACGAGCAGAGATAGATGTTCAATAGCAGCTAAGATTGATGAGGTCTTAGGAGTTACTGGTTTGTAGAAAGGGTTGAAGCAGTGTGATCACTCAGACAACACAAAGAGTCAAGCAAGGATACATGGGAACAGCAAGATTTAAGAGAAAAAGAAGGTTCAGGAGGACACAGAGAGAATGCTACAGGATGGAAAACCAAGAGAAGCTGACATTGTAGACCAGAAGGAGGAATACCACGTGCTGCAAACAGCTTGAGATGGACTGGGGGTAAGGCAAGAGCCACAATCAGGCTATGACAGCTGGTGGGATTGAAGAAGGAAACAAAAGGAGGTGAAGTTCAAGTCTGCACGTGCCCATTCGGCCGGGACCTGGTGTGCCATCAGGAGACATTTGCGGTGTATTCCAAATGCTATTGGGCACTTGTCCGGATATTTTAATGAGGAGCGAAGACACAGGATAGGCATGTGAAACATACCAGTCTGGGGCCAGTGAGATGGTTCCGCCAGCAAGAATGACTGGAATACTTAATGACCCGACTTCAAATGCCAGATCCCATGCTAGAAGGAGAGAACCAACTCTCAAAAGTTGTTCTCTGACCTGACATACATGCTATGACACATACATTTTATACTCACTAGCTAATAATAAATAAAACAACATAAAAATTCCTTTCTTTTAATTGCCCAAGGGTGATTCTCACTACAGCATCTGCCTGTCATGCTGACGTCTAGAGAAGGTTAAAGAGCGAAGCCAAGGACGTCAGTGCTGTGAGCCAAATATAGGATAAGGGGGTTGGAGGGGTTAAAAGTGTGCAGACTCAGATCACAGCACTTGCTAATTAATTGGGTGTAGGAAAGAATCAAGTACTAAAGTTTAGGGTTTAAACACTGAGTAGGTGGAGATGCCATTTACAAAGATGGTGAGATAGGGGAACACAAGGCACAGGGTTAGGGATAAGAACCAGAATCCAGACCTGGCTTGCTCCTTCCTTCCTTCCTTCCTTCCTTCCTTCCTTCCATCTTCCCTCCCTCCCTCCCTCCCCCTTCCCTCCCTCCCCGCCTCCCTCTCTCCTGCTCTCTCTCCCTTCCTTCTGAGACAAGGTCTCTCCATGTAGCCCTGGCTGGCCTGAAACTTACTTGTAGAACAGGCTGGTCTTGAACTCACAGAGATCCATCTACCTCTATTTCCCAAGTTCTGGGATTAAAGATGTGCTCCACTACACCAGACTTTGCCCCCCACCCGCCCCCATAAAGGCTCTTTCACTATGCTGCCAAGGCTAGTCTCAAACTCATGGGCTCAAGCAATCCTCCCTCTTCAGTCTCCCAAGTAGCTGAGATTATTGGCAAGCAGCCACTCGGAGTCTGGCCGTTTGTTTCCGTGTTTCGCTTTTAAAATAGGGTCTCCCCATGCAGTCAAGATTGATCTGGAATTCCTTATGCAGTCTAAGCGGGCCTTAAACTCACAATCCTCCTGCTCCCACCTTCTGTGCACTGGGCTTATAAGCATGCAGCACAGCTTGGGCATATTTAATATTATAGACACACAAGTAGAGAAGAAGCCAAATAAGCAGTTGGTTACCCAAATCTGGAGCCCAGGAGTGAAATCATAGCCGACTTTGAAGTCATCAGTATCCACCTCCTACCAAAAGTCTGGGACAGAAATTATGTGTGTCCCCTCTTATATGACTTGATTGAGCTTGGGTAGCTCTATATTTGGGAGGGGCATTTAAAGTGTGACCTCTGACCTTTGTAACCTGGGAGCTAATAGGACTAAGCCAGACTAACTGAATTGTTATAGCTGACAAGGAAATGGTGCCAGAAAAAAAAAAATGAAGACTGTAGAGGAACCCTAAAAGATTTCCCTCTTCCCATACCCAGCTCCTAAAATTTGATAAAATTAATTCACGAGGAAGAAGAAAGGAAGATGACACCGAGAACACTTAGTCTGCAGAGCCACCCCTGGGAGTCCAGATGAAGTCGAAGGGATAAGTGTGGGTGTTAGCATGGTCACTTGCTGCTCCCCTCTCATTCATCTCTCCCCTAAGCAGGAGCTTTTACACTAGTACAGGAACCACCATTGGTCCAGCATAGCCCAAAGGCCTGGCTCCCATGAAGAGAGCATATACCCTCCCCCGCTATGGCCTGAAGCAGGCACAACCGAAGAGCTGAGACCCAAGTCTTCCTCATTCTGAGCAAACCAGACAGAAATACTGAAGGCCCTACTTTCCAAACTTTACTGTGTACTGAACCATCTGGGGATTTTGGTAAATGCAGTGTTTGTGTGAGTCGAGGAAAGGGCCTGGGATTCTGCATTCCTGACACATTGCCAGGGCTTCTATCACTGCTGTCTATAGAGCACACACTAAGATTGCCGAGAAGACCACCTTTGATGGACAGGCCATTCCTATCCAGGAGCATGTGTTTGTTTATACACAGGGCCCCAGAACCTGCTAAGATGGAAATAGCCACCACCGGGCCTGTCTCTGAGGGAGACAGGCACCTCATGGCAGATCATCAAGAAGCGTGGCATGACTTCTTGCCATCACTCGGGTCCTGAAGTGTAATCTCCCGCACCTTCCATCTTCCTGGATATGTGACCTTGAGTAACCTTTTAACCTTGCTGTACCCCATCTTTCTCACCTTCCTGTTGGAAATAAGGCTACTGTATGGATGCTGAGTCACCCTGTGTAGCATGGTGAACACTGTCCCGATGACCATATGCTCTTCCACGGTAGTGCACGCAGCACCCACATGGTGCCTCCTTTTGAGTCACAGGCAAACACATACTACTATGTCCCTACCAAGAAAAGACTTGTCTTCTCTTTTGAATTCCTCTTTCCCTCCTGCCCACTCCCCCTCCCCTGGCCCCTGGCCCCAGTGTGGTCTGGAAGGGCCCCAGAGGGGCAGAGACAGGGACAGGACGTGGGGCTGTATCTGACAGGAACCTGAGGGGCTGGCCCGGGAGGGGATTGGGGCCCAGCTTCCTGAAGGGAGGATGGGCTAAGGCAGGCACACAGTGCGGGAGAAGATGCCCTCTTGGGCCCTCTTCATGGTCACCTCCTGCCTCCTCTTGGTCCCTCCAAACCAGGCACAAGTCACCAACCAAGGTGAGGTGTATAGAGGGTGGAGATTATCTATGCTTAGGCAAAGGGAGCCCTGGGAAGGGATGAAGAGCCCTGGGAGGGGATACAGGGTAAGAGACTCCCACTGGTCCCCTACTCTTACCCACAAACATGACTGGAAAAATCTAGAGCCCGACTCACCAACTGTTTCTCAGATGTCTTCTTGCTGGCCTTGGGCACAGAGCCCCTGAACTGCTTCTCCCAAACATTTGAGGACCTCACTTGCTTCTGGGATGAGGAAGAGGCAGCACCCAGTGGGACATACCAGCTGCTGTATGCCTACCAAGGGTAGGTTCTGGACTGAGCCCCAATCCCCATTTATCTGTCCCTATGTTTAGCTGAGTCACACTCTTAGCTTCCCTGTCTTTGGCCCTATCAGAGGATTACGCCAAGTGCATGCCCAATACATCACCACTCTATAAATGGGCCAGCTCAAGTCCCTATGGAATTCCTACCGCAAGCAGCAAGAAGAAAATGGCAATAGTGGAGACAGAAATTGGGCATAGGTTCAACCTGGGTTGTCGGGGATGAGCATGATGACTGTGTAGGAAGAATCTCTCCTGTGCCAACAGAGAGACGTCCCGTGCATGTCCCCTGCATTCCCAGAGGGTGCCCACCTTTGGAACCCGATACGTGTGCCGGTTTCCAGCCCAGGATGAAGTACGCCTCTTCATTCCGCTGCAGCTCTGGCTGAAGAATGTGGTCCTCAACCAAACTTTGACCCAGCGGGTGCTCTCTGTGGATAGTGTAGGTAAGGGTATCTCTACCACACTGTCCCTCCATTTGCTGCCTGTGAAAGCACCCAGAATCAGGCTCACCTGTAGTCTTTCGGGACAATGTGGGCACCTTCTTTGTCAGATTCCCAGAGGTATCTCAGAACCACCGCCCTTATTAATCCTTCCAGCCTTGGCACCCAGAACTAGATTTCTCTCATAAATCATTTCACATCAAGGATATCTTGCTCCTCTTATTAATATATATATATATATATATATATATATATATATATTCACCTGTTCAACAGTCAGATCACCGATGTGTGCCAGGCAACAAGGAGACAGGGATGGAAAGAGGTCCTTGCTTTAAGAGGCACAAATCTAGCAAACCATTACACCACAGTGAGCTCATTATTCTCAAGAGCCTAAAAGAGGACAGGCAGCTCCCTTTTTCCCCCTCCATGGGAATGAGAACCGGTGTCTTTTTTAGTTCAGGGTTGCTCTGTTCAGTCTTGCACAGCCCTCTCTGCGGTCCATGGGTTGAACCATAGACTGGCACTCAGCGATTTGATTGCCTTGTCTTGCCCTCAGGCCTGCCAGCTCCCCCCAGTATCATCAAGGCCAGGAGTGGAAGCCAACCAGGGGAACTTCAGATCCACTGGAAGGCCCCTGCTCCTGAAATCAGTGATTTTCTGAGGCATGAAGTCCGCTATGGCCCCGCGGACCCCAGCAACTCCACTAGCCCCTCGGTCATGCAGCTGCTCTCCACAGAAACCTGCTGCCCCACTCTGTGGATGCTGAACCCAGTTCCTGCTCATGACCGACCTCCATGTGTTCGGCCTACAGTGTCCCAACAGTACGGACCCATGAGGACCTCCCCAACTGGAGAAGTATTCTAGCTTTCTACTCCTCTTCCTATTTCCTACCCTAACATGTCCCCTGAAAAAGAAGGGTCATTCTTAGGGGACCCTGGGTAGGATTGGCCTTTGAGGGGCCACTGTAGACTCTGACTAGCCTTCAGGAGCCCTGTCTAGGAGTCCCCCACTTTGGATCATTCACGCTAACATAATAGAAGCCTTTCAGCCCTCCAAATCGAGACTTTGTAAAAATCCCTAAACACCACCCAAAATTTGCCAGCACAGTCCCTGCTTTGTGTGCGTATCTATCCAGCAAGGAGCAGAGGTTTGCACAATGGTTCAAATACAAGGTATGTGAGCCTTCTTAGCTGAGCAGCAAGCCTGGGATTTTTTCCCCCCAGGCTCCATCTCTGACAGTGAAGGGTGGAAGCTGCCTCATCTCAGGGCTCCAGCCTGGCAAATCCTACTGGCTCCAGCTACGCAGCCAACCAGATGGGGTCTCCCTTCGTGGCTCCTGGGGTCCCTGGTCCCTTCCTGTGACTGTGGACCTTCCAGGAGATGCAGGTGGGTCAGTAAAGGAATGAGGAGATGGGGAAGGGATTAAGACAGACCTCCAGGGAGACTTAAGCTGGGAATCATGGTCATTCCTGATGACCTCACACCTGGCATTGCACAGGACAGCTGTGCTCAGGCTGAGAAGAGGGGAGAAGGCTCTGCTGTGTGTGTGGAGACAGTTTAGGGACGCTCCTGAGTAAAAAGCCTCAGCCCTCTTCTTTGACCACAGTGGCAATTGGACTTCAGTGTTTTACCTTGGATCTAAAGAAGGTTATCTGCCAGTGGCAGCATCAGGACCACACTAGCTCCCAAGGCTTCTTCCACCACAGCAGGACACGGTGCTGCCCCACAGTCAGGTAAGACTGCAACTGTTGGGTGAGCCTGAACCTGCGGAAAGTCAACGTGGCTGTGGGTCCCCTCCAGGCCCTGCTCTGTTCTCTCGTACTCCAGTGAGTGTTTTCATTGTCTTTCTTCATTTCTGCTGGGAATGGCTTGCTTTTGTCAGACCTAATCATCTCATCTGGACTCTTGAGACGGCCTAGCAGGCTTGTCCAACATAGGACCCAAAGGCCACATGCGACCAAGGACAGCTATGACCTTGACCCAAATCAAAAACTTACTTACGACATGCAGTTTTTGTGTAACCTGATTATGTGGAGCTTAAGTTTGAATTTTTTATATAACCAGGTCATTTCACAATATCAAAAGGTCGGACACCCTTGGCAATTCTGTTTACCTTCAGCTTGCTCTCCATGATGCTAACCTCCCACATTGCAGAGCTTTGTGAAACTTACTGGTCACAACCTTCTGCTGCTCAAGTATGTACTGCAATATCCTGTGATCTGTGATCTAGTAAATCTATCCAAAACCCAACCTGGCCTTCAAGGACATCTACCAAAGGCCTCCCTGATCCTTCACCCTTTCTGAATTCAATCTATTACCATGTTGTTGGTTTTGCATACTAAGTGTTCCCAAAGTTGTGTCGCTGCCATTGCCCGATTACAACCCATCAGGTTGGGGAGAGAGAGTATTTGGTAAAGGGCTTGCCTGACATGCATACGACCCTGGGTTCAATCCCAAGTCCTGGGGGTGGGGGAGGAGGGTTATCATCTCCCACTTGTTCGCTGGAAAGAGTTCTTCACACAGGAACTGGGGAGCTCCAGAAGTTCAGAAATAAGCAGAACACCCCCTGCTTTAAAACCCTTGATAAGTTCCCACTGATCTTAACGAAGTCTGTCTGCTGTACCTGTGACTTCAGCTTCATCTTACGCTACCCTCCACTGATCTCTCTCTTCCAGCACAGGCTCCTTTCCTGCTCTGCTGACCTCTGATGAGCTGCTTATCTGGCCCTCTCTCCTCTTTACTGTCCCTTATCCTTCAGATCTCCGGAAGCAGCCCCTTCATTATTAGGTCCAATAGCAGAATTACGCATTTTTGAAAACCTTACTTACTTTGCCGCATGGGGTCAAAGGCACATCTGTGCCAGCATGAGTGTGGAGGTCAGAAGACAATGTAAGGGAGTCGATCTATTCCGCCACCATGTGGGTTCCAGGGATGGAACTTGGGTTGTAGGCTTGGCAGCAAGTGCCCTTACCAGTAGAGTCATCTTGCTAGCATGTTTATACATGCTTGTTGTACTATGTAACTTTCCTTGTTTTGTTGTTTCTGTTTTTGTGAGACAGGGTTTCTCTGTGCAATGTCCTGAAACTTGCTTTGTAGATGAGGGAGGTCTTGAACTCACAGAGGTCTGCCTGCCTTGTCTCCCGAGGGCTGAACCTAAAGGTGTGTACCACCACCCAGTCTCTCCTTTTTAAACACTAATCTCAGATGCAATTTAACATTTATCCTTGTTGTGATTATTTAATTAAAAATCTTAGTACGGGGCTGGAGAGATGGCTCAGTGGTTAAGAGCACCACCTGCTTGTCTAAAGGTTCCGAGTTCGGTTCCCAGCAACCACATGGTGGCTTACAACCATCTGTAATGAGATCTGGTGCCCTCTTCTGGCCTGCAGGCATGCATGTAGGCAGAATACTATATACACAATAAATAAACAAATCTTTTTTTTTGTTTTTTTGGGTTTTTTTGTTTTTTGTTTGAATTTATTTATTTTTTCCTTTTTTATTTTTATTTTTTTATAAATAAACAAATCTTAAAAAAAAAACCTTAGTACGGTGGTACATACCTATAACCTCAGCACTAGGGAAGTAGAAGCAGGAGGAACTGAGGTCAACCTTTGAATTTAAGGACACCCTGGGCTATATAAGATTGAGTCTTTTTCCAAAAACAGTAACACAAAAAGCTCTCCGTCAGATCTCTAGTCGAGAAACACTGACATTGACTATGTGTGACTCATGATGACAAAATCAGCATCCATCTTTCCTCACCAATACATTCTCATCACCTACCACAGTGGGCAATGAGCGAGGAGGGGGATGGCTGGATAAAGTCCTTGCCCTTCAACCAGATCCTTGGGGCCCATGCAAAGCTGGGCCCAGTCGAACACATGTGGGATCCCAGTGATACCACAGCAAGACAGAGAGACAGAGGATCTCTGGACATTCAAGGGCTAGCCTGCTGTACATAGCAGAGAAAAAGCCAAGAGATCCGTCTCAAACAAGGCGAACCTTGAAGACCAACACCCAAGCATGTCCTCTGATTCCGCATGCGCACTCACACTCACATGAATGTGCACACATACATGTACACACATACACAAGAACACATATGCAAGAAAAAACCCTCAACAAATGAATGAGAGTCACTCTGAAGAGTTTTGCTGTAGGTTGGGCAGTGGTGGCGCACGCCTTTAATCCCAGCAGATTAAAGGCAGAGGCAGGCGGATCTCTGGGAGTTCGAGACTAGCCTGGTCTACAGAGCTAGTTCCAGGATAGGCTCCAAAGCTACAGAGAAACCCTGTATCAAAAAAAAAAAAAGCTTTAGTGTATTCTCCAGATTTTTCATTGCATTTACATAGGTTTGTAAACAGTATTTAAGCTGGGCAGTGGTGCATGACTTTTAATCCTAGCTCTCGGGAGGCAGAGGCAGGAGGATCTCTGTGAGTCTGAGATCAGCCTGGTCTATAGAGCCAGTTTCAGGGCAGCCAAGGCTATAATAGAGAAACCCTGTTCTGAAAAACAAAGCAAATCAAAAACAATATTTAATTTTTAAATATAAATTATATCACACTATATATTCACGTTCACGGAATTTTTATTTATTTATTACCTATACTATTGATTGATTTTTGATACAGGATCTCACGATGTAGCTCAAGCTGGTCTGGAACTTGCTATGCAGCATGGGCTGACTTTGAACTTACCTGCTTCTGCCTCCTGAGTGCTGGGATTAACTCTGCCCAGCTCTGTTCTCATTTTTGTTTCTATGATGCTAAGGACAGGATCACAGGCTAAGCAAATACGGTACCACCAAGCTATTCCCCTTACAAACCTAAATGGGTCATTAGCTTACTTTTTTGCTTAAATGTTTGTTGGAATTCAGTCCAAAAGAAGTAGCTTGGCTGGATGGTGGTGGCACACACCTTTAATCCCAGCACTCGAGAAGTAGAGGCAGGGGGATCTCTGTGAGTTTCAGGCCAGCCTGGTCTACAGAGCTAGTGACAGGACAGACTCCAAAGCTACAGAGAAACCCTCTCTCAAAAAACAAAAAACCAACAAAAAAAAAGTAGCTATTCTTTTAAATAGTCGTACAGATTTTCATAGGGTGCAGCTCTAATCCATGGATGAATTTAAGGTGACAAAACCAAATTAAGCCAGGCATCGAAACACACACCTTTAACCTCACCACTGGGGAGGCAGAGGCAGGCGAATCTCTGCGAGTTTTAGGCCAGCCTGGTCTATAGAGCTAGTTCCAGGACAGCCAGGGCAAAACAGAGACTCTGTCTTGAAAAACAAAACAACAAATAAAATCGATTCTTCTTTTTACCCAAATTTTCTCTTGCTCTATTCTATCACGAGTCCATTTCCACACCTCAGTCGCCCTGGACTTTCCTCCTTCCTCTGCCCTTCAGGTCTAATCAGAAACAGCTGTGCTAAAACAGATGTTTTTTGCATCCTTTCACTCTGTCTCCACCTTCTTCTCGACTTCACTACTTTGCACAGGAAAATCCCGACAATGTCCTATTGGAATTCTCTGCTCCTCTCCCCTCCCAAGTCCTCTCCACAAACAGCAATTAGAAGAGTCTTCTGAGGTACAATGTGTTCGACCCTTCCCTGGTTATGATATTTGAGCGTTTTCCTATGCTCTAATCCCCATACTTAGGAAGCTGAGGCAGGAGGCTCACCTCTAGCTCCAGGCATGCCAGAACTAGGTAGTGTGAGACCCTCTTACCACCTCCCCCAAAAGTTCATGCTCCTTAAAGAGGCTGTCCATGACAGGGTCTGCAGTCCCATTTATCATTTCCTAGCAAGCTCTCGGTCCTAAAAACCACCCCTCATTCTAAACCATTTAGAATCTCCTACACAATTACCCCACCCCTATCACAAGTCGGGATGCAGAGGTGGATAGATCTCTGTGAGTTTGAGCCAGCCTGGTCTATGGAACAAGTTCCAAGACAGCCAAGGCTGTTACACAATGATACCCTGCCTCAGGGAAAAGAAATGAAAAATCACCCCACAGCACAATACTCCCTTTATGTCTGCAAAGCATGTGCCTGGAATAGCCAGTTGTCCCCCTCCCTAACCCATTCATAGTCTGAGCCTCAGTGTAAACACTGTCTCAGCCAGGAAGCAATCCTTGACCCCCCCCCCCCCAGTTAGATGCTCTGCTGTGATCTCTCCTGTCAGCCCGTACTTCACACAGAAGAACACGGCTGTTCGTGTTTGTGACTTGCTCTTTGACATGGAGGCACCTTTAAGATTACTTTTTATCTTTATAGTGTTCAGGCCTGGCACAATGCTTGGCACATGAGTATCAAGTATTTGTTGATTAAGTGGGTGGATGTGTGAATGCAAGAATGACCATTAGGGATGATAAGATCACCAAGGGATTAGAATCAAGAGGATTTGATTAAGAATTAAGAGCATTTGAGACCAGCCTTGCTATGAGTGAGACCCTGCCACAAAAAGCACACACCTTTAATCCCAGAAATCAGAGGCAAGTGCACGTCAAAATTCAAGGCCAGCCTGGCCTACTTAGCAAGTTCCAAGTCAATCAGGACTACATAATGAGACCCAGTGTTTTGTTTTTATTTTTTGTTTGTTTGTTTGTTTTTGAACCAGTCTTTTAAGAAAAAGAAAGAGGGAGGAAAAAAGCAGCCACATGCCCACCCATTAGAATTTACTTTAACCCACGCAAGCAATAATGGTGGCTTCACTTTACGTGGCAACAGCAAAGGTCAAACTGTGATATGTTCTGGGTGTTATTAACAAGTAATCAGTTTCGGGAAACAAATTCTGGAAGCAATGTCAGAAGGCTGCTGAATAAGAGCAAATTTAAAAATATAAATATGCTTGCTTCTAAAATGATCATCTCTTTCATCTTGGAAACAGCCTGCAAGGTAGGTATCAAAACAGTTCCTCAAAGGAAGGGAGCTAGAGCAGAGAGAAATCACGCCATTGGCCAAGGTCTGAACTAGGAGGCTGAGTGCTGACTCTATGTTCATGTCTTATTATTCTTGTTATCATTGATGCTGTTATTAAGCTAGTACACAGTGGCGGTTTCATCATATAACCACATTATTTTCACATAGCATGCCTGCCCTTTCCTCAAGGAAAGAGGCTAGACCTCATGGCATAAAGGCAGAGAGAGCCCTGGAGGCCTAAGGTACAGAGGGAGGACTTCAGTCGTGATCCATGCAGGACACAGTGCCCGTGTGTTGGGGAGGATGGAGAGGTGTCTGGGGCAAGCCTGACTCGGTGACTCTGTCGGATTGATTCTTAGAGATCCCACCTGGGAGAAATGTGAAGCAGAAGAGGAAGCAGAGCCATCACAGCCTGCGCTATTCTCCCGCTGCCACTTCAAGCCACAAAATGACAGTGTTATTCACATCCTTGTAGAGGTGACCACAGCCCAAGGTGACATTCACAGCTACCTGGGCTCACCTTTCTGGATCCACCAGGCTGGTAAGTATCCCCACATAATTCCCACCTTCACCAAGTCTAACTGGAAGGCTGAAACTTAAACTCTATAGACTGCATTCTTTTTTTTTTTTTTTTTTAAGATTTATTTATTAAGCATACAATGTACTGCTGGCAAGGAAGGCACCAGATCTCATTACAGATGGTTGTGAGCCACCATGTGGTTGCTGGGAATTGAACTCAGGACCTCTGGAAGAGCAACCAGTGCTCTTACCCTCTGAGCCATCTCTCCAGCCCTATAGACTGCATTCTTTCATCTTTGCTCATGTCTTTATATCTATTATTATTTAACATTTCTGACCCATGGCCCTGGTGGCATGAGGCAAAATACACAAAAGGGCTTAGCACAGTCCCTGTTGAAACCCCTGCAGTGCTCCTCCCTACCCCAAGCCTGCACTGGAGAGAGGTCTCCAGCGGGAGGCTGGAACTGCAGTGGCAGCACCAGACATCCTGGGCAGCTCAAGAGACCTGCTACCAGCTCCGCTATGCGGGAGAAGGCCACGAGGACTGGAAGGTACTTTAAAGCAACGCATGCCTGTGGACCACCACACATGGCATTCCCCATGCCAACACTGTCTCTGTATCAGTCTCTGGACTTGTCCATCTGTGTTGAACTGATTCAGCTGCTGTCTAACTCCCTCGTGGGCATGTGGAACCGTGGGCTACTCCACTTGAACCGTTCTCTCCCCATGCTGGAGGTGGATCTCAGTGGCATAACACTCACCTAGCATGCAGGAGGCCCAGGTTCCATCCCAGAATCCTTTCTGTGAGATGGTGGCCTCCCTCATCCTCCTCTCCCTATCTCTCTGATTGAGTTTTATCTCTTCTTCCCCTGACTCCCCCTTGTCTACTCTTTCATGAGACGAGTTGTTCTTACTAGTACCGCATCCAAAACGCTCTCTGCTAGATAAATGTCTGCTCCGCGTAGGTGAGTGGTTCAAACCCTATGGTTTCAATGGCTATGCATCAACTAAACATTAACAACCTCACATTCTCGACACCACACAGAAAGGGACTTAAGCACCACATGCAAATTACCTAAACTTTTGAAGTCTCCTCATTAGTGAAATGGGGAGAAAGCTACCTGTCTTGGAGTTGAATAAAAATTAACTATAAGGACTAGAGGGATATCTCAGCAGTTAGCAGTATTTGTTTCTGCAGGGAACCCAATGTCAGTTCCAGGCACCCACGTAACTCCATAACTCCAGTTTCTCCTCATGGAATCTGAGGGTACCAGACACACATCTGATGTACATATGTATATGCAGACAAACACTCATACAATTAAAATAAATCTAATATAAATTCCTAGCATATAGAAAGGTACTTAATACACATTGTTTTTATTCTCAGTTAGCATGTATATATATATATATGTACACATAGAGGTATGTGTACATATATGTATATATACACATGCATATATGTATATATACATACACACGCACACACATATGTATCTTCCTACCAGACAACTCTAGTAAACAACTTCATCTCCAACAGATCAGATGCACTGTATTGAAGCTAAATTCATTTTCCTCCCCAGTTGTACTTTGACTAGATATAGCTCATAAACAATAATGTATACAAACTTTAAATACAGCGTAAATTTTTCATGTGTATCCCAATTGTGTAGCCAATTTGTCAGTTACCCAGATCTACATATAAATACACAAAACTCCACTAGATCCTTATGCCTCCCACAGTGGCCCTGCGTAGTAACCAAAGCTGGCCACTATCTTGGCCATACTCATCTGACCATAGCTAAACTTTCTATAAAGTAGACCCATATGCAGTTTTTATTTTCAAGATTACTGCTCTCACCTCTTTGACCGTGGAGCCACCTTTTACCCAAGACCGGAGCCTAGAATCATCCTTGATTCCTCCTTTCACTTCCCCCTCTCCTACTTAGCAACAAGTAATTTGAATAACGTATTAAACACGCTTCACTCCTGGTTTTCCCATTGACCGTCCGTGTTCTTGGCATACTAAACTAGGCAGTATTGTTTCATTGTGCTCCCATGGTGCCTTGCACTAATTAATTGCGATTATCTGCCTACTTACTTCTTCAGATAAAGCTGCGCATTTCACTTACTTACCTTTGTCTCTAGCGCCTAGCTCAATGTTAGGCATTTCCTAAGCAACTCAAATGTTTGCTAAGTGTATCCTTGTTAGTGCAAAATAGTGTTTGTGGCCCCCGGCAGCTAGCGCAAATCTGGCGTCCTCTGCGCTTATAAAATTTGTGGCACTGTGTGGCCCTGAGGGTCCGAGCACGTCTCTAATCCAAGGCATGACCAGTGTAGGTGGTGAGCGCCCGTAGCGGGGTCCCCACATCTTGTGGCTGGATGCACAGCTTTGTGAGTGCCGGGGTGTGTTCCCAGGCGTGAACTCAGGCAGGGCTTTTGATCTTTTAATCCTGCACGCCTCGTGCGGAACTTGTGGCACGGTCTGTGTGGCTCTGAGGGTCCGCTCCACGCTTGTCCTCTCAGGTGCTGGAGCCGTCCCTCGGGGCTCGGGGAGGGACCCTGGAGCTGCGTCCCCGAACTCGCTACAGCTTACAGCTGCGCGCCAGGCTCAACGGCCCCACCTACCAAGGCCCCTGGAGCGCCTGGTCTCCCCCAGCTAGGGTGGACACTGGCTCCGAGACCGGTGAGGATGGGCGGGGCCGAAGCTGGTCTACGCTGCGTAGAGGGCGTGGTTCGGGACGATGGGCGGGCCTCGGAGCTCCGTGTGTCTCACGGTCTCAGGGTGGTGTTGGGCGCTTGGGAAGCTGGGGGTGGAGCCAGGGCTGGAGCCGGCACGCCCCTAGGCGGGGCCAAGGGTCGACCGAGGTCACACGCTTTTTGTCCCCCTAGCTTGGATCTCCTTGGTGACTGCTCTGCTCCTGGTGCTGTGCCTCAGTGTCCTCCTGGGCCTGGGGCTGCTGAAGTGGCAGTTTCCTGCGCACTACAGGTACCGCCCTGCCAAGAGGGTGATGGGGTGTGGTCTCTGCAAGGCCAGTGGCCTCTGAACAAGAATTCTAGAGTCACTTGATGACACTGCTCTCAGGACCAACAGAATATCCACACCCACCCTTTCAGCTGCTTCCACACTCCTCTGGGAGTGGCACCTTCTCTTTACACTCTAGCCTGGCCACTCTGTGGACACTTTCAACAGCCCCACCACCTAGATGCTCAGTGACCAGGGCTACTGTCCAACCTTGGCCCAAATCAGCATTCTTGCGGGCGTCTTCCCAGCCCCACCTCACCCAGTTGGCCTTGAGGCCTGGTCAGTCCACCTCAGGAAATGGATCCAACAATGCTTTCTTTCTCTAGCCCAGCACACTGCCTGGCTCATTGAAATAGTGCCTCTTCTCTCCTCATAAGCTTCTCTAAATACACATTAGCCTATGGTGTGACCTGCCTAACTCCTTCAGTACCTACCCAGGATAGAATCCAACAAAGCTCTACAAAATCTTTTACCCTGTATAATCAGCCTTGCCAAAGTCCTGTTAGGCTGTTTTACTGCTCAACGCCTTTGCACACAATGTCCCTGCTGCCAGGAATATCCTCTTAGGCTGACTATCCAGTCATCTTTAAATAACTTTCTTCACTAACTCTTAACCCCTCCTGGCCTTCCCTCACTGGCTGGTCCTTTGTGCTCCTGTAGTGTTTCCCTGCATTAGTCTATGTATTTGGTGTGAGGAGTATTTGGTGCGAGGAGTGTTGAACCCGGGGCTCATACACGCTAAGCCCGGCTTTGCCACTGCCCTACACGCACAGCCCAGCATTTGTTCCTTTACACGTCTTCCCCATCATACCTTTCTTGGTCATTTTTAAACCCTCAGCATAGTGCCTGCCAAGTAGAAGGCCCTTAAATCAATGTCATAATGAATGACTCATTTATGTGAGGGCTGGGGAGAAACTGTAAATCTAAAGATAAAATCCGCACCACCTCGGTCATTCAATTGGTTCGAGAATCTGCTGATTCTTGAACACCTAGCTCAGGAGTCAAAGTGTAGAGTGTGTGTTTTGGTTATAGGCTAGGCCAGGCGCCCTTCTCTGGAACTCAGGAGAAGTGCTTTGCTTTTTTTTTTTTGGTCAGGTTCTTACTTGTATCCCAGGCTGGCCTGGAACTCACTGTATGGTCCAGCATAACCTCAAGCTCCTGGCAATGGCAATCCTCCTACCTTGCCCCCCACCCTGCCCCACCCCGAGTCCTAGGATTACAGGCATGAGCCATCGTGCCTGACTTTCTTTGAATTTTTAATCTGCCTTTGTATAAGAGCAAACTAGAATGGAGCCTCTATTCAAGGTAGCCATATCTGACAAGAAAAAAACAATGTGGACAGAGAAGAGGAAGTGGTATTGCTAACAGGCACACAGGCTTTTTTTTTTTCCCTGAGATCAGAAAGCTACTTCTCCCAGGAGATGGGGGTGAAGGTCATGGAATAGGCCACACACCTTTGGCTGAAACCCTTGAACATGAAAATCTGGGGCCATCCAGTTGGAAGTTTCCACAGTACACCCTAATTGGTACTCTTCCCAGACAACCTTCTGCCGTCACATCGCAAGACACTCCACTGCTTTTCCTCCTTCACCGTAGCAATTTCTCAGGCACCTACTGTGGGCTCAGGGGATAGAGAAGTGGAAAACAGACAGTCTTCAAGCTCTCACAGAGTTTGTGTTCTGGTGGAAACATAAAAATACAGTGAATATCTAGTAAGTTAAGAAGAACAGCAGACCCCGAGAGACAGGGTGATGGGGAAGGAATGGTACTGATTCGGCAGAGCTCAGGGACGGCCGACATGCTCTGGCTACGCCTCCTCTCTTCAGGTTTACTTCTCTGCCTCACTTTGGTGCCCTCTTCATCACTCCCAACTCAATCCCGAGTCAGACTCCTTTCTCTTCCTTCTCTACAGAAGACTGAGGCATGCTGTGTGGCCCTCCCTTCCAGACCTACATCGGGTCCTAGGCCAGTACCTTAGAGACACTGCAGCCCTAAGTCCTGTAAGTACACCCCAGCCCTCCCTTCCTCCAGTCACCCCACCACCAATGACTCTTGTTCCCACAATGCAACTTGTTCAAGGTCTTTGCCGACATGTACTATCCCTAGGAGTTACCCCCGAGCCTAAATATTATTTAATCCAACCCATCCCATACCCTACCATCTGCTCCAATTCAGGCTGTCCTCAAACTCACAGAGATCTTCCTGCCTCTGCCTCCCAAGATGAATCTGCTGGGATTCATCTATCTCCTTTGGCTCATCTCTCTCTCAGCCTAAGACCACGGTTCCCGACACCTGTGAAGAAGTGGAGCCCAGCCTCCTGGAAATCCTCCCTAAGTCCTCAGAGAGGACTCCTTTGCCATTGTGCTCCTCCCAGCCCCAGATGGACTACCGAGGGCTGCAACCTTGCCTGCGGACCATACCCCTGTCTGTGTGTCCACCCGCGGCCGAGCCGGGATCCTGCTGCACTACCCACATTGCCAACCACTCCTACCTGCCACTCAGCTATTGGCAGCAACCCTGAAAGCAGTCTCCTTGCTACCACAGACCTAGGGCTCCCACATACACCCTTATCCATCCTGAACACCACCGCCATCCATCTGTTTACCCATCTCCTTGGGCTTTGTAACACTCATCTCTCCACACGACTACTGACAAATTCAGAGCCCTTTCTCCATATAGCCACTATAGGCTCATCTCCACTAGGCTCCTCTGGCTTTTCTTCTCTTGAGACAGGGTTTTATTATATACGCTGATGGCCTATAACTAGCTATATAGAAGAGGCTGGCCCCAAACTCACAGAGATTTGCCTGCTGGAGCTAAAGTTCCCATGGCCTATAACTCCTCTTGTATGGGAAAGTCTCTACTCCCCCACCTCCCATTGACCCTTTAGAGTGAGGTCCCCTACTGCCATGCTGCTAATGAAACTGTACAGGCCAAGTTCATGTCAAGCCTTTTAATTATGCCATCCAAGAGGGTCTTGTTAATCATTTATTTATTTGCTCTCTCGGCATTTCCCTCCACCCTGCCTCTCTGAACACACCAGCACTGGAACCAAGTCTGGAGCTAGAGCCAGGTTCCGTGCCTGTCTTTCACACCTGCTAGCTGTGCAAATTTAGGCAAAGAGCGGAAAGCCTTTGAGCCTATCCCTGTCATCTACAGAGCACGGACAGTGACAGAACCCCGCAGAGCTGCAGAAACAATTGAGGACACATTGGCAAAGATATGTTAAATACTCAACATACTTCAACTAAAGTCCTAATGATTTCTTTTCTATCTCCTGTTCTGGCCTTTATTGTATGATGACCATTAGAAGTTCCTGTCTCCAGCCCAGACTTCTACTATAGTGTCCATGATGCTTTATGTGACTTTTGACATGTGTGTTTCTTGCTACAGGCTGGTGAGCCGTGAGGCCAAGGATTTGTCCTTTCCCCCCAGCACCTTGAATACTATTGGGGGCATGATAGGCAATAGACCTTCAATAAATATTGCCTAAATTAAAGAAATCTTTCTGAATGATGTTGCCTTAATTCCATGCCAACTTCCTTCATATTTCAAGCCTTTCCTGTGCAATGGTAAATAAACTTGAACCACTCAAGCTACGGATTCCTCTAAGTCATCCAGTTTCTCAATCAGATGATACAATGTTTGGGTCTTTGCTAGCTCCAACTATACCCAATTTGTTACTCGGGGCCTTGTCAGAGACAGATGGACATACTGGGTAATTGGACAAGTTTATCTAATTTTTTTTTGTGGGGGTTGGTTTTTCAAGACAGGGTTCTTTCTCTGTATAGTGTTGGAGCCTGTCCTGGAACTCACTCTGTAAACCAGGCTGGCCTCAAACTCAGAGATCCGCCTGCCTCTGTCTCCCAAGTGCTAAGATTAAAGACATGCGCTACCATGCCCAGCTGGTTTTTTTTTTTTTCAAGACAGAGTTTCTCTGTGTAACAATCCTGGAGGTACTGGAACTCATTTTGTAGACTAAGCTGGACTTGAACTCACAGAGATCCACCTGTTTCTGCCTCCCAAGTATTGGGATTAAAGACATGCACCACCACTCCCAGACAATTTGACAAGCTTAATACAAGGCTCTTTACTAAAGGGGAGGGTGAGCTTTTGGAAAACCACCAAGGAATTGTCCCTTGTGGGGCTGATAACAAACCTGGTACCAACCCTAGACACCAAGCAGTACAGGAGACATCAAACCTAGGGGGACTAAGCCTCCTGCCTTTGGTAGGTGGGAGCAGAGGAATAAATAATTCAAATGCTTAGTTTTGAGTCTCTTGGAAAAGAAAGTCTTTGTAAACAGCGGGGTGGGGGGGGTGTGAATCACGCAAATGTATTGTGTTTCATCTATTGCCACAAGTTCATCTTTTTCCACCTCGATTCACAGACTTGATTCACAGGGTCTGCATCAGATGATTTCCCAGAGTTTTGGCTTCTGCTTGGGTTCTATGGAAAGATATTGGTAAATTGTATCCCCTGCTGGGCGGTGATGACACACACTTTTAATCCCAGCGCCAACTTCCTTCATATTTCAAGCCTCTCCTGTGCAATGGTAAATAAACTTGAACCACTCAAGCTACGGATTCCTCTAAGCCATCCAGTTTCTCAATCAGATGATACAATGTTTGGGTCTTTACAGAGTCGGGAGGCAGAGGCAGGCGGATCTCTGTGAGTTCCAGGCCAGCCTGATCTACAAGAGCTAGTTACAGGATAGGCTCCAAAGATACAGAGAAACCCTGTCTCAAAAAAAAAAAAAATTGTATCCCCTTTCTCCAAAATTCAGATGTTGAGGTCTCAAACCCAAGTACCTCAAATGTAATTCAAAAAAAAAAAAAAAGCTGGGCGATGGTGGCGCACGCCTTTAATCCCAGCACTCGGGAGGCAGAGGCAGGTGAATCTCTGTGAGTTCGAGGCCAGCCTGGTCTACAAGAGCTAGTTCCAGGACAGGAACCAAAAAGCTACGGAGAAACCCTGTCTCGAAAAATCAAAAAAAAAAAAAAAACCCATGGTTATTACACACAAAACTAGTCAAAATGAGTCAGTATGGCTAGTACTTGGGGGGGGGGGCAGAGTTTAGATATAGATAGTGGAAGGAGAAAGCCAAGAGAAGATGGCAAGGACATCAGGAAACACCACCAAACCACTGGAAGCCAGGAGAAGCACGGAACAGGTTCTTCCTCAGACGCCTCCAAAGGAGCCATCCCTGTCAATATCTTGGTCTGGCACTTCTAGCCTCAACTGTGAGTAAATCAGTAAATCACCTAGGACACCCAGTTTGTGGTCCTCGGTTAGAGCAGTTCTAGCACACTCAGAGGCTGGGCTCACGGTTGCCCCTGCAGACTCCACAGTCTGACTTGCTTTCTGCAAGCTCTTTTGAAGGGACCGCTAGCACTCAGTTCTCTCATCCTCCCCACAGAATCACCAGTGACTTGTTTCTCAAGTGGCCAGATCTTTCCCTTGCCTAGTTTATATCATAAATGGTAAGGTTCTGTTTTTGTTGTTGCTTTGGTTTGGTTTTTGGAGACACAGTCTGTGTAGACCTGTCCTGAAACTCACACTGTAGTGCAAGCTGACCTCGAACTCATAGAGATCCCCGCCACTGTCCCCAGAGTGCTGGGATTAAAGACATGTCAGCACTGCTAGGCTAGGTACTGTAAGCCTCTGCCTCAGGGTGCTGGGGCTTGGGCGCATGCTCACTTTCCAATACGCATGTTCACTACAGCTGTGCTCCTGTCTTCCCTCTCTGAAATAGCCACCTTAGCAAGGCACAGACAAAGCAAAGTGCTTGTCTTGCTTCCATGCTGAGTCTTTCTGCACAGGAACCTCCACTGGCAGATAAAAGTCAAACTCCTTAGCTTAACATGGAAGCCTGACACCAGGCTACCCTTTCCTACGTTTTTTTTTTTTTTTTTTGGTTTTTGCTTTTTTTAGTTTCAGGAACTCTAGGGCATTAAAACTCTAGCTTTCCATGGTAACTAGAAACAGAATACAAAAAAAAAAAGTGTTTCAGAGCTAGAGACGACAGTGAGTTTAGACAAACAGAGTCTCCCACCATCATGGGGTGACCTTAGGCTAAGGACCAAATGCACCCTTTTCTGACTTCTTCCTTAGGCAGTATGTTGTTGGGATTGCAAAGGGTGCCTTTGTTAACATCTATTACCTCATTCTAACCTAGTTTTTCTTATTTGTTTTGATTTTTGGAGACAGGGTCTCTCTGTTAAGTAGCTCTACCTGTCCTGGAACTCACAGAGAATCACCTGCCTCTGCTTCTAAGTGTTGAGATAAATGTGTAAAAGGTGTGTGCCACCATGCTTGGCTCTCTGACCTAATTTTTTTTTTAATGTAAAATGAAGACAGCTGATTTATCTGCCTAAGAGTTCAGGGAATTTGCCAGCTGCGGGAGCACATGCCTTCAATCCCAGTACTCCGGAGGAAGAGGCACCTAGAGCAGCCTTGTTTACAGAATGAATCAGGACAGACCAGGGCTACACAGGAACCTTGTCTGGCGTGAGGGTGGGAGGATTCAGGGTCATCCTTAACTACGTGGAGTTCAAGGCCAGCCTGGGCTACATGAGAACATATGTTTCCAAAAAAAAAATTATACAAACTGTTTTAATGCAATAGTTAGATGTTCCATTAGTGGTATCCATCAGTGTTTGTATCAGTGCTGTTTTACCTCTGAGCATCCATCCAACTCATTAGAGCCCTAAACTAAATGAGTCAGACTTGGATTCTGGATGTTTTCAAACAATTTTTTTAAAATTATTACTGGAGGGAAGAGGTGCACTATGGCATAGGTGTGGAGATCAGAGGACAACTTTTTTTTTTTTAACGTGCATGGGTGTTTTGCCTGCATGTATGTCTATGCATCTCATGCATGCCTGGTGCTGGTGGAGGTCAGAAGAGGGCATTGGATCCCCTGGAACTAGAATTATAGATAGTTGTGAACCGCTGTATGGGTGCTGGGGACTGAACCCTGGGTCCTCTGGAAGAGCATCCAGTTTTCTTAATCAGCTAAGCCATCTCTCTAGCCTCCCCCCCTCTTCAAAGGATTTTATTTTTATGCATGTGTGTGTGTGTCTGTCTGTGTCTGCATGAATGTATGCTACCTGTGAGCTAGGTTCCGGTGGAACCCATAAGAGCCAGTTGGATGCTCTGGAGATATAGTTGTGTGCTGACAAACCAAATTCCAGTCCTTGGAAGCAAGGCAAGTAGCCCTTAACCAAGGAGCTAACTCTCCAGGTCCCAGACCAGGATTCTTACCAACTTCTTTTATGACTGTGGGCAAATCCCACGCTTTGGGCCTTAGTTCTTCCGTCAACACAACCTGGTTCAGGATCCGGTGTGGCGACACACGCTTTTAAATCCCAGCGGATCTGAGTTCCAGGCCAGCCTAGACTGCATAGTGAGACCCTCATCTCAAACAAATGAAATGGAGCCGGGCAGTGGTGGCACGCCTTTAATCCCAGCACTCAAGAGGCAGAGGCGGGCGGATCTCTGTGAGTTCGAGGCCAGCCT